TGGCAAGAACGGCCATGGAAAACCTGCAGCTGCCGGCAAGGGAGAAGCTGGGCGTGGCCCTGCCAGCTGCCATCACCCGCCCTGCGGGGATGCAGCAGAAGACCCCGCAGCAGCAGTGGAAGACCCACCAGCAGCAGAAGACCCGCCGGCAGTGGTGGAAGACCCGCCGGCAGCAGAAGACCCGCCAGCAGTGGTGGAAGACCCACCAGCAGCAGAAGACCCGCCGGCAGTGGTGGAAGACCCACCAGCAGCAGAAGATCCCCCTGCAGACAAGCCATCGCTGGCAGAAACGGAGAGCCCACCTGGCCACGGCACCCACCCTGCTGAGCCCCGGCACGGCCAGATAGGTTGGAGTCTTTTCTTGTCGGTGTGCCGTAGTGGCAAGAGTGACCTACTGTCAACCCCCGGCGGAGCTGAGCTTGGCACATTAAACCGCACCTAGTGCATGGCCCTCTCCTAACGCTTGTGCTTCCTGCGCCTGCCCCTAACCGCTGCAGAGCTGGGCCGGCTGCGGGCATCGAGGGCGCAGGCAGGAGCCCGCGGATGCCTGTGATGCAGGCGCTCGTCACAGCGATACCAAAGCTGGCTGACATTTCCCTCGCTGCACTTTAAGCCCATGATTTCTCCTCTGGGCTGTGGACATGGATAAGATTTTTAACACCCAGGCCCCTTTCAGCACCCACAGACCTCTTAAAGGCTCTTTATCCTCCACCCTCAGAGTCCTCCAGACCCCTATCTCTCTTGGTGCACGGGCAGGACACTGCCCGGGCTGGTGGGTCTCTTGTCCACCAGCCCTTGCCTCATAGGGAAGGTGTGAAGAGCTAATTCAGACCGATGAGCTGCCAAAGCACCAGCTCTGGCCACGTTCAGTCAGTGAAAGGCTAGCTAAGGAAAAGGGACACCCCCCACCATGATTTCCTAGAAACGCTTGTGGACTTTGGCCCACGGGTTGGGCAGCGACCTTCGGACACAGCTGAGTCTTTTTCTTTCATCTGTAACGTCCCAGCTCAAAAAGTTCCCATTTGTGCCGAAAGGGAAACCCAGTTTGGTCTCTGTGGCTTTACTTGGCAAGTCAAAAGGTCTTCCTCAGCCCAACGCTCGGTAGACACTCAACACGGTCCCAGGGCTTGGCAGTGCCCGGCTTGGCCCAGGTATCCCCAGCCCAGCCAGCACACGTCTGTCCCCAAACCCCCACTGAAGCCCGACCCAGCTCCCGATATCAAAAAGCACTTGGAGCTGCGCGGGGCCCTTGGTGCGCCAGCACCTCCAGGGCGAGGACACCTGTGTCTCCCTGTCTCGGGGACACCGGGGTGCCTACCCCAGGCAGAGGCAGCTGCCTCATGCTCCCAGAGCCTGTCACGGAGCCATGGGGCCCCCAGGGCCACCCCAAGCCAGGGCCCCACGCAGAGGGCTCCAGCCTGATATGGGGGCAGAGGTGGGAGAAGCGGGAGGGAACGATCCCGCTGGCAAAGGCGAGGCAGCCGGGATGGTTCAGGCTGGCCGGTCCCTCAAGAGCCAGCCCCAGCCTCACACATCCTCATGTCTCTGGCTCAATGCATAATTTTTTGGGGGAGTGGACAGACAGAGAGGCAGAGCACGTCTCTGGCTCAATGCATAATTTTTGGGGGGAGTGGACAGACAGAGAGGCAGAGCAGAGTGTGCCTGCAGTCAAAGCTTAGCCCTGGAGGAGCTGCAGCTGCTGGGGGAAGCGCCGGGGCAGGCAGGGGCCCCATCGGGCAGCAGGTGCCGCGCGTGCTCATGCTACGCCCCAGCGCTGGAGCCCCTTCCAGGCATGTCCTTCGCATTCCCCGCGAGCGGCCGGCCGAGACACGGCATGCCTCCCTCGCTGGCCCCTCCTCAGAGCCAAGCAGTTGCCCACGATGCTTCCCCCGGCAGTCCCTGCCAAGCCTCTGGGAGCCTTTGCAAAAGAGAAACTGCGCGGCATGCCAAAGGCATCGTCGGCTGCCAAGGCGCCCGGCAGGTCTGTGGGCTCTGGGTGCGTGTGCTCCCCCGTGCCCTCTCCCCGGCAGTAGCTTGTGTGAGCTCCTGTGTGGATTCCCCCCTCCAGCGCTAACAGGTCTCCTTGCCTTTTTCCTCCAGAAGAGGTTGAAGATGCCAGCGAGCCGACCAAGCGCGACCGGTCCCACTTGGAGAGCACCCTCAAGCTGAACGAGGACAAACCTGCCGATGATTTCTCAGGTGAGGGGGCCTGGGTGGCACTCAGCCACCTATGACCTGCTCCTTCAGTCCACGCGATCCCTGCAGGACAGGCTCCTCGCCATTCTGCTGCACCAAGAGCAGGGATGGGATCTTCCTTCTCTAGAGTGTTTTGGTTTTAACCTTACTTCTTGGAGGTCCAGCAACACCATATCTTCAATAACAGCCCTTTTGCTGCTCTTGGGTTATGTTAACCTAATATTTTAGGTATTTTAAAGACAGCCCCAAGGGCATACAAGAATTAGGAGGGTAGAGAGGCTGGAAGATGCAGATGGTGAATCAGCCCAAGCCAGCCACATCCCTCCCCGGAGAAACCTGGGGCAACTTGTAATAAAGGGTTGGGATTTTTATTCCAATTATTTATTGGGTTTTGCTGTTATAAGGCTTGCTTCTGCTGGCCCCATGGGCAGCCTGGACTGGAAAGAAAGTGATAAAAGCTGCTGTGGAAAAAGCTTCTAGCAAGCAGCTTAGGGGCTGTGCCAGGGGTCGCTGGCACCATGGTGGAGGGCTTTTTGGGATCACAGGTGTTGAGTGCCAGACAGCATTAACGAGAGATGTTCCTTCCATCAGCTGCTGGCACGTGCAAGACTGGCAGCTGACGGGGACAGCGCCCAGCAGGAAACATTAGCAGGGGAGGGGCATCAAAATGTGTGACTAGGATCAGTTCGGCCAAGATTTCAACTGTGAGCCAAGGCCCTTGATCCATGGCTGAGTCACCCTCAAGATCTGCAGGGAATGCCCAAGAGCTTACCTAGGAAGGAATCGACTAGGGCAGTGGGGTTTGCCTTTCACCCGTCCGCATGCTTCTGCCCCCGCAGGAGTACTGCAGCGGCTGAGGAAGATCTACCACTCCTCCATCAAGCCCCTGGAGCAATCCTACAGATACAACGAGCTGAGGCAGCACGAGATCACAGGTAATGCCACGGACACCGGGGTCTCCGGCACCATCAGGTCACTGGGATGCAGATAACAGCACAGAGGGCAGATCATGGAAAGGCTCGGATACTTTGTCTTCCTTCATAGCTTCCCAAGAAGGCCATGAACATTCTGGGCTTAGAGGACATGCCCTGGTGAACCCAGCGGCAGGCATTCCTGCATCTGCCTTAGCCCATCTGCTGTCAGGACCATCTGTGTAGGCTGAGCATTGAACCCTGCCTGCTTCGGGTCCTCCACCTGCTCCAGTAGATCATGGAAAGGCTCGGATACTTTGTCTTCCTTCATAGCTTCCCAAGAAGGCCATGAACATTCTGGGCTTAGAGGACATGCCCTGGTGAACCCAGCGGCAGGCATTCCTGCATCTGCCTTAGCCCATCTGCTGTCAGGACCATCTGTGTAGGCTGAGCATTGAACCCTGCCTGCTTCGGGTCCTCCACCTGCTCAACATCAATGCTCTGTACCCCTGCCAAGCAGAGATCACGGCCCAACAAAACAGGCTTGGCAATGAAGGTTAGGACCTCTCAAGGCTGGGTATGAGCTTCCTGGGGGTGGCTGGAGCTGGCATCCTTCCTGCTCAGTACAGGACACAGCCATGTGGGCAGGGTATCCCTCGAGCTCAGCAGCCTTCACTCATCCTGGGAGTTAGAGTTTCCACCCCTTGGCAATTACAGACACGTTGGATCAGGTGAGCAGGTCCCCGTGGCCACAGGCATTGGCTTGAGCCGAACCTCAGCAGTACACGTGCCCCTCCAGAAGAGGAAAGCGCAGCCCTGGCCCCAAGATGCTCACAAGCTACGGGAAGCTCTTGTGACCCATATGACACAAGCAGACCCATTTTCCAAGCACAGATGGCTCAAGCCCAAGTCTGAGGTCCCTGTTCACCAGGATAACTCTCCTGTGAGCCCCTACTCAAGCCCTGTCCTGAGCTGGGGTCAGATGCCTGGGCGGGCAGGCAGGGGATGCTGGAGTCCCTGCTGCCTGTGTCCCAGGGCTGAATGCCCACATCAGCATCCTGCCAGGGTCCCTCCTTGTCCTGAAGTTCTGCCTGTTTGCCCAGGTGTCCTCTGGGCTTTGGCCTCACACACCCTAGAGCCATGCCCTCCTTCCCGGTGAGACAGGACCCAGATACACCCTCCACACCACACAGACCTTCCCTTTGCAGCTGGACTCCTCTGCTCCACCAGCACGTGGGTCCCACATTCATTTGGGCAAACCCCAGGTCAGCTCCCAGCACGAGTGCCCAGTACACCCTGTTGTGTCCCACGTGGCACCCTCCCAGCAGCGCAGATGCAATCCCAGAGCTGGTAACCCACGGTCACAGCTTCCCGATACACACCTTACAGACCAGGGAAGGGCACACGGAAGCTGAGCTGCCTGCAGCCCTTGTCTCAGCCATGAGAGGCCCTGGCCAGACTCCCATCAGAGATGTTTCTCCTGCTACCAAACTCCTTGAGCACCTCTGACACCCCAGCCATACCCTAACACATACAACCTCAACCTGGAGATCTGAAGCCCAGCAGTTTGCCTTTAATACCCACAGATCCAGCTATTCCCAGTCCCTCATTAGCAGTGTAATTAGAGAAACCTGCTAATTAGTTAGAGGGTTGGCCCAGGGAGCCCCCTTGACTTTACAAGGCAGGTGAGGATACGGTGGGGCTGAGGGAGCCTTCTCAGCCGTTTCCTCTGCGTGGTGGCCCTGTCCTGAGCGGGTTCATCGCATCGGCGGTGCCCCTGCAAGCTGGGAGATGCCCCCAACCTCTCCCCCTGTGCCCGCCCCCATGGCAGGGGGGAGGCTGGAGGGCGCAGAGCTGCCGGCTCAGCTGGCTGGGAGGAGCGGGACAGCTGGGAGAGCGGCAGGGCAGGCCTGTCATGGAATATGTGTGACCTTTGGAGGTGTAAGCCAATATAGAGGGGTGCCGTCGCAAGCACCTTCGCCCCTCCATTACGCGGCAGCCCTCCATTTTGTCTTCCTTCCCATCGGCTCTGCTCGCACCCACGAGCCGGTGTAATCCAAGGAGCCCCACTGCTCCCCACAGCTTGCAAAAACACCCGTGTAGATGAGTGTCACCTGTCCTCGGGGAGCTGCGACTGCCACCGTCAACCTAAGGCTCTGAATTGTTGGGGTGCATCCCAGAAAACTCACCCCACACCCTCTGCTTACAGCGTGTTTAAGCCTGGCAGGTGCCATCTCCTTTTCCCTGCCTGCCACCCTCCCTCGTCTCCGCTCTGCCACCCCACGTGGGTGCGTGCACGCTCCGGCTGGGTCCGCCTGTGTGCTTGGTCACAGCGGGGCCACCCTGTAGGGACTGTCCCTAGCTCAGGGGTGAGGGACTCTCCCAGTCTGGCGATGGGAAGCTTGCTGTGAAGTCATGCCAGTTTGTGGTGCATGCTGGTGGCCTTAATTACTGTATATGTGCTGATTAGCATGCCTGTATAGGGAATGACCTCCCAGTTGCCATCACCAGCCACCCTACGGCTGGATACAGGTAACCACAGCACTGGGGTGGTCAGGACACTTGTCGGGGTTGGTTGCTGTCCTAACCACGGCTTGTTGGGCTCCGTTTGCTAGGTGAATGTTGCTGGGGAAGGCAATAACTCCGCTAAGCAGGGCAGGAGGGTTGGGGTGCTGTCTCAGACACGGCAGCTCTCCTGGGGCTGCTCCCCCAAGCCACATCCCTGGTGTGCAGGGCAGACTGGGGTTTAGTGCTTGTCCTGGTAGCTGCAGGTCTCGTTGCTCACAGACTGTAACTCCTTCTCTCCTGCTGGGAATGTGGCCGTCGCTGGCTTTTCCTGCCCAGGAGAATGCCAGGGCCAGTCTTTAGCTCCCTCCTCGGCCTGGGCCAGACCCAGGCAGCCGTGTCCCTCCTTTGACTCACGGTACCTTTTCTCTCTCCCCGTGTCCCCTGCTAACAGCTTACCCCGGACGCACCCTGGGCTCCTCTGCCACAGGTTGGTATCGCTGCCTGCTACCTGCATGCTGCCAGCGCTGCCTAAGCTCTTCGCTGGCCTCCAGCTTTCCTATTCACCTGCCCCAACAGGGCCACACTTCCCAGGCACCGAGCAGACCCCGGTTATCAATGTCCCATGGCACCCGCTGGAGCCAGTGTCCCCAGCCCTACCAGAGCTCGGCACGTGTGTCGCTGCACTTGTCTGTCCCAAGCCTGACTCTGTGCATCCCCACCTCTCCCAGGCTTTGACATCTTTCCCTCTTGGGTTAAGACTCAAGAGGTTGTGTATTCCTCTAGCGATGGTTCAAAGGCATTTGTGGTGGACCTGCGGGTCGATCTCCCACCCACGGCATGAACCGGAGGAGCCCAGCAGATAGCCCACCCTGCAGGGGAGCTCTTCCCACCCTTCACCCTCCTATGTGCAGAAACTTTCCCGAATATCCACCCTTGATCCCCCTGGCTGCAGTTTAAGCCGATGAGCCCGCAGCAGCTGTCCCAGTAACACAGGCTGGCCCCTGCGCGGCGGCCTCAGCCCCCTCGGGAGCCAGAGCTGGCTCCGCTCCCTGCCTATCCTGCTCGGGGTGTGCTGCCAGGTCCCCCCCCGGAGAAGGAGGAGATGGGAGATGGGCCAAGAAGCGCCAGCCAACACCCAGCCCTTCCCCTGGGTCCGGTGCTGGGCCACGGGGACGATGTCCCTGTTGCGATATAAGGCAGGGAAATCCCATCTTCTGGTCCTCGTGTCCTACCCCATGGCCCCTGCTGCCGGATCCTGTTGAAATGGGCTCCTCCACACCCCGGCCCTGGACGCGGCGGAGCCCTGCTAGTGCCTGGAGGGCCTCTGGCTCCCTGTCATGCCAGCGTGCTGGCAGCGGAGAGGGTTGCAGATATATATAGCATATTTCAATAGCTGTCTTATCTACATCTCTAGCTGCAAGCGCACACACGCGTGCACGCGTGCTGCTTGTGTGGGCGTATGCGCACGGGGAGCACGACGTGGAGGCAGGCGCAGGCGGTCTGCAGCCACGTGTGGCTTGTCCCTCCGTCTGCGTGCACATGTGCCGTGAGGATACTCGTGGCTTTTCGTGAGCAAGCTGGCCAGCCCTCCAAGGGCTGCTGGGCAGTGCATCCATGCCGTAGGCAGAGTGGCCGGTGGTGTTTCAGGTACAGGGATGGGGTGGCAGCGTGGGTGATGCTGGGAGAGTCTCCCCGGGTGTTTTAGCCTTCGTGGATTGTTTGAGGACAGAGCAAGACCTTCGTGCTTGTGGTTCAGTCTGAACAAGGAGAGGAAGGAGGTTTTGCCGTGTCCTCCACTTTGCCTAGCATCCTCGGGACAGACTTGCACAACGGGGGGTGAGCCGACATCAGGCACTTCTGCTGGGCTTGAGGACAAGGAGGGAGAAGACCTGGCCCAGGGTTAATCCCAGCCCCAGAGCAGCAGTGCTCCCACCCAAGGGCAGCCTGGCGTTGCAAGCAACATGGAAAAACCTCCCAGAAAGCCACTGCTCTAGGAAAAAAAAAACCCTTTTTGGGCATCCAGATTGCTCCTACCCCCCTGAACAGTCCAAGACAAATGCAGGCTCTGCGGAGGGAGACAGAACTTTCCTGGCCTCGGTTGCCAGGTGCTTTGCCGGATCACAGCATGCTCTTTACCCTGCAAACCCGGCAGCTTAGAGAAGCTGTGTTTTGAGCTGCTGTGTTTTAAGCAGGACCACAGATGAAGGGGTGCAAGGTTTGAGGACCACCCCCCCCCCCCCCCCCCAGGCGGGGCTCCCCCCCTGCCGCCAACAGCCGCCCCCTC